TTTCATGACTTTATTTCAACATATATTGACCTACAATTTTAACATATTCGAGTATGAATGCCAAGCAATATTTATTAAAACTTACAAGATATGACATAAATTCAAACTGTTGATAAGATTATTTATTGTCGAGAAGTTTACCTTCATTTTTCTCTAGGAACAGGCTTTTCAACTTTGAGACGAGCTCTTAAATTCTGTTTGAGTGATTCTCACCATTTTTACATATTATGTGCAAAGTTCTTAGTTCTAAGGTTTCTTCAATTGAATTTATTCCTAAACCTATAACTTTGGGAGTTATAAATTTTTGTCTAAATTTTGTGCATATTTTGAAGGCAACAGTGACTATTTTTTTTACAGTAACTATACTCTCAAACTCAATTTTAAATTGAGGAAAATGAATGTTAAATGTCATTCTAAGCCCATAATGAATAAAATAAAAATTAATGAAATATTAAATTCATCAGCTTAATTTGAAATTGTGAAATTGTCAATTTTTTTAAATAACTTGTTTGTTTTGTTTTCCTGTTCGTGTTAAGATATTGAACCATTATTAAAAGTTGGAGCATTTACCATGTAGAGTATACACAAAAAGCTTGAGATTGTTTGAGGAAGGTTGAGAAATCAGTCTCCTAGCTCCCTTAATAAGTTAATCAGATGCTTACAGGGGTTTCATATTGAACTAAATCTATATTGAACTTTTATTGTTTACCTTTTCAACTTATACTTTCACCGGAAGAATTACACTTGTAGTTTCAGCATGAAATCATATAGATTACTTGAGTGATAGAAATGCTTCATAGGACATTAGTGGTGATCAGTATTGTCAGAAATACAAATACACTGACAATTTGTATGTATCTTACAGTTTGTTTCATCAACATGGCTGCTGCGTGCACAGTCTCAACAGCCTGTGGACAGTGGCAACTCTCCATGCCTCATAGATCACCTCAACTCTGCACAGTCTCAACAGTCTGTGGACAGTGGCAACTCTCCATGCCTCATAGATCGCCTCAACTCTGCTCCTACAAGCACAGTCTCAACAGCCTGTGGACAGTGGCAACTCTCCATGCCTCATAGATCACCTCAACTCTGCTCCTACAAGCACAGTCTCAACAGCCTGTGGACAGTGGCAACTCTCCATGCCTCATAGATCACCTCAACTCTGCTCCTACAAGCACAGTCTCAACAGCCTGTGGACAGTGGCAACTCTCCTTGCATCATTTGTATATAGAAGTTTATGTATTAGATGTGCTAACTTTCCTGCCATTTGCCATAACCTGCAGTGTGTGACACTTTTACCATTATTATCCTGCAGTGTGTGACACTTTTACCATTATTATCCTGCAGTGTGTGACACTTTACCATTATTATCCTGCAGTGTGTGACACTTTACCATTATTATCCTACAGTGTGTGACACTTTTACCATTATTATCCTGCAGTGTGTGACACTTTACCATTATTATCCTGCAGTGTGTGACACTTTACCATTATTATCCTGCAGTGTGTGACACTTTACCATTATTATCCTGCAGTGTGTGACACTTTACCATTATTATCCTGCAGTGTGTGACACTTTACCATTATTATCCTGCAGTGTGTGACACTTTACCATTATTATCCTGCAGTGTGTGACACTTTACCAATATTATCCTGCAGTGTGTGACACTTTACCATTATTATCCTGCAGTGTGTGACACTTTACCATTATTATCCTGCAGTGTGTGACACTTTACCATTATTATCCTGCAGTGTGTGACACTTTACCATTATTATCCTGCAGTGTGTGACACTTTACCATTATTATCCTGCAGTGTGTGACACTTTACCATTATTATCCTGCAGTGTGTGACACTTTACCATTATTATCCTACAGTGTGTGACACTTTACCATTATTATGCAGTGTGTGACACTTTACCATTATTATCCTGCAGTGTGTGACACTTTACCATTATTATCCTGCAGTGTGTGACACTTTACCATTATTATCCTGCAGTGTGTGACACTTTACCATTATTATCCTGCAGTGTGTGACACTTTACCATTATTATCCTGCAGTGTGTGACACTTTACCATTATTATCCTGCAGTGTGTGACACTTTACCAATATTATCCTGCAGTGTGTGACACTGTTTTTAGTATTACGTTGCAATTTTTCTGACTGTTTATATAGATACTGTTATTAGTCATAATGAACATTTATACATATGATGTAAATTATTAATCATTGTTGATATTTTTATTTAAATGTGTGTCTACAGTTATACTGAATTTTTTCTTGAATTTGTATTATCTATTTGTGTGCCTTGAATGTATTTGTCTTGTAGAAGAATTATTGTTAATTCCAGAGCTAGGAATATTATTTCATAAAAAATAAATTAAGATATGAAACAAAATTTAGAAGTAGTGTGAATGTTTTTTGTGCAGTCTTAGGGGTTAATAATTCCTAATAGAGCATATTTGAATTTCTTCCTAAATATTCCTAAATGTCTGAAATTCATTATGTATGTATTTCAGGTAATTATTAATGTCATTATAAGATAAACATAATATTTTGGTTCCACCTACTCAAATAGCAAGCAGAGTCATTTAAAGCCAATTGTAAAAAAATTTTTGGTGTAGAAATGATAAATGTTAAATTCCCTTACATAAAACAGTTGACTGTATAATGTGTGCTCATGTTGAGCACACACGTGTCAGAATATTAGTCTCTGTATTAGTATTAAGGTCCTAAGTTTTTCCTAAAAAATCTCTACCAGTTATGATTATTTCTATTAAAGAGAAACCATATAATTATTTTCATAAAAATCAACTTAAGTGTGAGGTACGTGAATAAATTACAAAATGCAGTCGTATCAGAGTTCAGAGCATTCAGAAGGCTTTGCAACTAAGTCACATCTAGAAAAACACTCGAGAGTTCATTCAGGACAGAAACCCTATCAGTGTTCAGTGTGTCCAAAGGGCTTTGTATATAAGTTAAATCTAGTAACACATATGAGAATTCATTCAGGTGAGAAACTGTATCAGTGTTCCAAGTGTTTAAGAGATTTTGCACACAAGGTGTATCTAGAATCACATATGAGAGTTCATTCAGTAGAGAAACAAAATCAGTGTTCTGAGTGTAAAAAAAGCTTTACACAAAAGTCACAACTAGTAAAACACATGAGAGTTCATTCAGGCGAGAGACCATATCAATGTTCAGAGTGTCTAAAAAGCTTTGCATATAAGTCGTACTTAGTGACACATTTGAGATTTCATTCAGGAGAGAAACCATATCAGTGTTCTGAGTGTTTAAAATGTTTTGCACTTAAATCACATCTAGTAAATCACATGAGAGTTCATTCAGGAGAGAAACCATACCAATGTTCAGTGTGTAAAAAATGTTTTTCACAGAAGGCACGTCTAGTAATACACTTGAGAGTTCATTCCGGAGAGAAACCTTATCAGTGTTCGGTGTGTCATCTAGGCTTTACAGACAAAACATCTTTAGTGACACACATGAGGATTCATTCAGGAGAGAAACCGTATCAGTGTTCTGAGTGTCTAAGATGCTTTGGACGTAATTCATATTTAGTAAAGCACATGAGAATTCATTCAGGAGAGAGACCCTTTCAGTGTTCAGTGTGTCAAAAAAGTTTTTCAGATAAATCATATTTAGTGATACATTTGAGATTTCATTCTGGAGAGAAACCATATAAGTGCTCTGAGTGCTTAAAATGCTTTGTACTAAAGTCACATCTAGCAAAGCACAAGAGAATTCATTCAGGAGAGAAACCCTATCAATGTTCAGTGTGTCTAAAATGCTTTGCACACAGTTCATATTTAGTGACACACATGAGAGCTCACTCAGGAGAGAAACCATATCAGTGTTCTGAGTGTCTAAAATTCTTTGCATGTAATGCATATCTATTAAAGCACATGAGAGTTCATTGAGGAGAGAAACCTTATTCGTGTTCCTAGTGTCGACAGTTGGACAGTACAGTTGGAATGATCATAAGATTCGCACACCGGCTATGTATGCAAGAGAATGCAGTGTAGCTGCTCCACCTCCACCAGATCACCCAATGCCGATTCAGGGTCCATGAGGACATTGGCAAGTAGTCCCTGTCTGCAGCTCATGGAATGAAGAAAGAAAAAATTTAATAGGAAGAAATCAGATGAAAGTTGAAGTGACCTGCTCAAGCCGGCAGGTTTACCTGCTTGCCTCATCTGCTCGTCAAGCAGACCCATCATCTCCTCTGTCAACCCCAGAAACCCCAGCCAACACCCTGCAGTACAAGTTCTTATGCAATCGCTAACAGGGTCACCCAAAAAAGACCCCAAGACATTCATCCTAACCATCAAGTGCCTGATACAGGTCAACAACCTTCGGTGAACATCCCCGAGGACTTGTTTGCACCCACAACAATGCCAGCATCACCAACCCTCTTGTCCCCACAACAAACCCAAGAAACAGAACCAACTGCAAGTGCAGTACCAGCCACCACCTCAACCCTGAAATTGATCTATGGGCCCAGAGCATCCAAGACCTCTTATTGCCCCCTGAATTCCAAAGACCAAGCACATCCACCCCAATTACCAGCCACATGGCATGTTTGGGGAAGCCACCACCAGCACTCCCAGTTGCCCTCCTTGACCTTTAGCTCACCTGGATGCAGATGCTCAACCTTCCAGCCTGCCCACCAAGGAGTCATCCAGCAGAAGTCAGTTAGTTTAGTTCATTTATTATGCACCCCATACCCATCTTGTGGGCAGTAGTGGAAAGGGTTACAGAGGCACATAATGGGCTCAGGGACTGAACCCCCACAATTTATTTGGCTAAGCAAGTTACAATCTTGATGAGCTAGTTACAAAATTCAGTATACATTGTCACATCATCAATGGGTTTGAGATCAACCACAAGTACAGTTTCTAAATTAAGCAACTGACATATGTGGAGAGCTAGTGTCACAATTGATATGTTTGTCCTGCACACCACCCTCCATCCAGTGGGCAGCGGTGGAGAGGTTACAATCACTTAGTTACTACCTACAGTTAGCAAACTGGGGATATTTGGCTAAAATTTCTGGTAGCAGATCATTTTGAATGAAATATTTACACATCTTGGGAACATTTGTTATAGAATTGTCTCTGAATTCACATATCTTTTCGCATTTACCAGCAGCAGAAAGATGAAACTGTGACACAATGTCTTCAGGAAGCATTTAGTTAAGTTCTTGCAAGAAGTGCAAGAACAGCCTGTTGGACCAATTTATCACAAGTCAAGCCTGGCCCCAGGCTGGGCTCGAGAAATAGAAGAACTCTCAGAACCCTCTCCAGATATATTCCAGATATGACAGTTGCTCTTGGATTGGAAGGGTGGGGGGAATAGTGCCAAAGACTACTGGAAGGGGCATCCACCCTACTTCCAGGGATGCCAGGCGAAGCCACTGCAAGATTGCAGCATCCACAGGTGGGGGCACGACCCACCATTAGGTCTCGCATAATGAAGCTAAAACTCATTCAGATCAATACATGACACTTCCTCAACAACAGATACTTGCTGGAAATAGAACTCGGCAAACACAACCTGGACATGCTACTACTGATTGAAACCTCGGCATGCCCCGACCAACTCGTACTAATTCAGGGTTACATAACGATAGACAGGAATGAAGGGCAAAGCAGAAGAATAGCAATCTTGGTCAAGATAAGCTACCCATTACTTTAATATCATTTGCCTTATGCATTTCTGTCCCTATATTGGCATCCTTAGTGATATTTAGCAACCTCTTTAACCCTTGTGTTGCTAAGGGCTATTTGGCCAGTGTCACCCACAGGCACATAAAAAAAAATAACAAATTTCTTCTAAACCTGTTAATTTGTGTTCCCTGATCACGGAAAATAATAACAAAATCGTAAGTGGCATATTTTGCTCGCTACATGGCGCGGAAGTCTGGCAAAAAAGAGGCGCTGACTCAGCGTGCGTCCGAGGCAGTCTGTTCAGCCCCAGCTGTCAGGCAGGAGTGGTCACAAAGAGGTAATTACATAATTATTTCAATGACTCTGATTGATTTTTCTTCATTTTTTTGCTGTAATATTATTCAATAGTGTGTAGTGTGATATATTTATATAATAAAATGTGTGAATCATCGCTGTACTCAAAATTATGGTGTGCATATTATTGATTCAATTATTATGTTCATAAAACAATAACAAATATTTTGTCAGTTATTACACTATATACACAGGTTATATATACGTATCTGCATGTTTTATTCACCATAACGAACCACTAAGTTGATATTGCAAGTCAAAAAGCAGTGAGGTGTGGCCACCACATCTGCCAGTCAGCCACTCGTCGCCACACCCTCCCTCCCTCAATGACTCCTCACTCGCCCACATCTTCCTCCCACCATACTGTTCTTGCTTTTATTCACTATATACAGACGTTATATATAAGTATCTACATGTTCTGTTCACCATAACTGTTCATCTAACCTGGTATAGTGCCCAAAAAGCATAGTGGCCACCCGTACCCAGCATGATCAATCATGCAGATGTCGCCACCTCCCTCACAAAAATGGCTTCTCCCCCACACTCCTTTTGCTGTTTTTACACTATCTACATTTGTGTTCACCATAACGAACCACTAAGTTGGTATGCTGAGTGGCAGCCAGTGGCGGCTGTCACTCCCTCCCTCACCTCACTTGACTTGCCATTCTCCTCCCACCATACTGTTTTTGCTTTTATCCACTGTATACAGACGTTGTATATAAGTATCTACATGTTTTCTTCACCATATACTAAGCTGGTATAGTGAGTCCAGACAGAAAGAGGTGGTCACACAGAGTCAGCAGACAACGCTACCTCTCTCCCCACCAAGGTTGCTCCTCCCACTACAGCCCTAATTATCACAACACTCCTGCTATTATCAGAATCCTGGTCATTTTTATCACAGTCAGGGGTCTTCTGTAATACTATCATTGCTAAATAATAGCATGTACATATATATTATGGCATTTTTAGGCGATGCTGTGGTCACAAGCTGAACAGCAGTGCTGTGAGCACATGCTACAGGCACCAGCCGTGGTGGTTCACTCAGTACTGAGGACCTCACACCCGGGAATGTGGCCCACGATTTAAAAAAAAAAAAATGGCGTCTGTTTACAAGAGCCCTGATGAAGGTGAGGTGAACCCCGTGTATCCGCAGGCAGTTTAAATCTTGCGTTGTACTCCAACACGTCATATGACATGATGCGCAATTTATGGCAAGTTACTAGTTATGGCAAGTTTATAGCACAGTTTAAAGGTTAAGTTTTCCTACATCTTTCCCCCATCCTTCCCTTCTCTGCTTACCAGCTCTATGTTCATCGGATTCGGCTTCCTAGTGTCTGAAATGGTTTTCATCTAATTCATATTTAGTGATACTCATGAGAGTTCATTCAGGAGAGAAACCCTATAAATGTTACTAGTGTCTAAAATGCTTTTCACATAATTTGTATTTAGTGATGCACATAAGAGACAGTATCAATGCTCCATTAAAGTGATTTTATTGTATTAGAATTGTGTGTATCGTTAGGCCAAGGTTAGAGTAGGTGTATGTCTTTTTTTATGCTCTGCAGGCAATTAATTGTATTTTGCAGTATGTGGGCGAAGCATTAATGGAGGTGTGATTCGAACATTGGAAGTGACCAAAACACTGAAATTTTTTTTTAATGTAATGAGTTACAAAGCAAGTGTAAAGTTTTCTTCATTCATAACGTGGGACTTTGTGGCTGGTTTAAGGAGTATTTGGTCAGTGTTTTGATGATGGGTTTCATTATACAAGGGAGTATCTTTATAATAATGTTTCATATGTCTAAAAGCTTTGCAGGTAAATAAAATTTAACAACATATGAGAGTTTATGCAGAAGAGAGACCTTATCAGTGTTTAAATTTTGTTTATGAAAGTTCCCCTTCTTCTATGTCAGCTTTATTTTCGTGCTGATGAGGCTTGTGTGCTTTGACCCCCTGCCTTTCCAGCCCGTTGTCATCGTGAGGGAGCTTAGTAGGCGGCTGCCGGGATGTGATGCTCTATGAGACAGTATTCTGTCCTTCTGAAGCTTTATGTTCCTGCTGCCGTCTTCACTAATTGTGCTGGTCGCTATATCCTCTTCCTCAAGTTTCATTTTTCCTCCCTCCTCTTCTCCTTTCTCATTGTCTTTCCCGCCGACCTTTTGCCATCCTTGATTATTCTTTTGGACATCTTCTGTTTTGACGTGTGGGTATTTGGGGAGGCACACTCTCTCACCCGTAGAACTGTGATACCCAACGTCTCTGTGGGGGTTTTCTATTTTGCTTTCCCGACTGCAATGTGTACGTCGCAAATGTACATGTGGCAGACGCTTCACGAAGCTGTCGGAATCAGCAGAGAAAATAATAGAGCAACCGTACAGGGCCTGGGAGCAAGGTCGAGTTAGAGTCCTTGAGGGTCTCTTCTCAGACTAGCCTCACCTGGTCCTGCTCCACGTTGATCGTTGGAATCTCCTCAATGATTTAACACTTTAAGGGACTCCTAGGGTCCTCATCACATTTATAGTTTAGTGACTTATAGGCAACTCGGTGTTGAAGACACTTAGAGCTGAAGGCTTGAGTAATGTTGGCAGTATTCAGAAGTGGTTCAACGGAAACACCGCATAAAGCTTAACAGTAGTTTATTTACTAACTTAACAACTAATACACAGGGTGCTTGATTTACTTTAGATTGGTGTCAGAAAGGCTATGGTTGTCATTAGCGAGACTCTTGACGTCTGGCTGGCTAATCAATTCGGATCCACTCGTGGCGAAACACCTAACTTAACACAGTTGACAGGCCGCTGGTTTAATCATTAACCAGACGTTTCGCAAACCTAACTGCCGGTATGCAAAGGGATCACAAGAGTTCCAACCGGATACTCAGTAATGAGCTTGCCCACTTTTACCCTGCCTTACGTCATCAAGTAAAGACAGCCAGGATGTGCTATTTGCAGAGTTACCAAGTAATTTATTAAGTAAAGTCAGACAGGCAGTGCTAGTTGCAGAGTTACTAAGTAAATTATTAAGTAAAGTCAGCCAGGATGTGCTATTTGCAGAGTTACTAAGAATTATTAAGTAAAGCCAGACAGGATGTGCTATTTGCAGAGTTACCAAGTAATTTATTAAGTAAAGTCAGACAGGCAGTGCTAGTTGCAGAGTTACTAAGTAAATTATTAAGTAAAGTCAGCCAGGATGTGCTATTTGCAGAGTTACTAAGAATTATTAAGTAAAGCCAGACAGGATGTGCTATTTGCAGTATTCGCGGGCACTTATTTTAGCTTCACGTCTCCTGGCCCTGCATTTTTTGCCTAGTTTCATCGGTAGTTACGGTAGTTTATGCTTAGCTTTGCAGTTTAGTTTCCTCAGTGGTTACAGTATTTACGCTTGGCTCTTGCAGTTTATTCACGTTACTTATCAGGTTATATTTGTTATGCTTTCCCTCCGTTCTCTTAATGTAAAAATGGTTATATATGCACGCCGATTGTATACCCTTATTTTGTACCTGCAGACTTCACGTGCCATGACTTGCCCTATTCAGGTGACCTGGACAGGGGGGTGGCCCCCACGTTGCCTGGGGCACGGTACACTCCAGCAGATGGCGGCGTCGAAGCGTCGTCGGGAACGTCGTATATTTAATGATATCCCGTTCTTTGCCTTCCTAAGACAATGTAAATTAAGATTTTATACGCTTATATGGAAGGTTTCTTATTTTGTACTGGCAGACATCTCGCGACATGCCTTGCCCTTCCTCTTAATTACGTTCTACATTTCAGCACTAACATGCCTCCTGCT